AACAAAACTAAAAAAAAGAATAAAAAAAAAAAAAAAAAAAAAAAAAACCGTTTTGCCCTATTTTATCTGACGGTTCCACTTTTTTCGCCGTTTTCACGATTTTATTTCATTGTTCCACGATTTTATTCGACGTTTCAACGATTTTATTCAAACTTCACTTTATAAAAAAAAAAAACTGGCATATCTATTTTCAATTTGCTTGTTCTATTTATAAGCAAGGGATACTTACCTGCACATACATATAACAAGTGCATTATTTGAAGTGGATCTTTAATAGTAATAATAAACTCATAGTTACTTGCTTGTAATACTGAACAAATATGCTTAACTATAATCCTGAGTTAATAAATTATTGCACAGCTATGCCATCATTAATTAAACAAAAATGTCTACCACTACATGCTATAGCGATGGTTTAATGCTAATTCAACCAAACATAGAAGGACTATGCTACATATCTAGTTAAAAGAATTCTGATGTCATCACTCGATTTATCTAGTATCTTGAGGTTGACACTAAAAAAAATTACAGAGCATTAGAATAAGAATACAGTTTTGGCAATAAGAGCCAACAGTTCATATTCAAGTTTTAAATCACGTGACTGGCATCCAGTTGGGTGTTTAAAAATTCAGTACGTTGCTAAGTTATAGTTGCAATTTAGAACTGGTATGACTTTCACCAAAAGCTAAAAAAAGTCATCAGATTTTTCTATATGAACAATGTTGGTTTTTCATAGGTTATAATCAATTTTTTTTAGATTTTCGTAGTAAAGAAATTTTTTAATTGCAAGACTTTTTAGAGTCAAAAATCGAAAGATTTACATATACAGATATTGTTGCATAATTAGTTATAGCAAAAATTATTGTAATGGTAATTCACTACATAGCACAATTATTAATAGCAAAGATACTAGTTTATATAGAAATTTTTAACAAGTCACGTTTATTGGTGAAAATGGATAAACCATTAAAAATCTTTAGATCTTATACAATAATTTTTATCTAAAATGGTCTTTAGGAAATTGACACATAGAAGAATAGTGTCCAGTTCCATAACAATTGCCACAGTGACGAGTATCTGTTCTTCGTGTAGAATTTTCTCCACCTAATTCATTTCGTTTTTTTGACCTTTCTTCAAACTCTTCTTTATCTTCAGTATCTGTTTCAATTATTTGTCTCGATTTATCTGATTTATCTTCCTGTGAACTTAAACTTCGCTTTGTATTCAAATTTTGTCTTTCATTTAAATTTTCTGCATTCAGATCTTGAACGATTTGTGTAGATTTCGGAATTTTTGGATGTCCTTTGTGCTTCAATTTTTTTGGATTTTCAATTCGAGTAACTTCAATCGTCATCCGATTATTAGCATCAACATCAGTATGATTTTCAATAAATTTCTCTATCAATTCTGCAAATTCGTCAACTAATCCATTATCAAGGGCAAATTTTAGTCCACTTTTAGCTACACCAAAACCATATGCATATTCTTGTTTTTGTGTAATGCTAGTATGAATACTAGCTTGATATGCATTGGGACCACGAATAGAAATCAACTGATTCATTTGTTCATTTGAATCGATTTCTTCAATAGCCGTGCCTTCAATCATAGAATAGTCTGATGCTTGCATTGGATCGGTGTACCAACGTTTAGATATAAGTTTAATATCAAACTTCGCATTGCGAGACATTTTAAAAACACTAAAGAAATGTCTGCAATAAAAACTATTAGAAATAATATATAGACAGGTACAAAGATGCGTATTGTCTCTTAAAAGAATAACATAATGGGGATAGCTATGACTATGGTAATCAAATAAAGAAACTTTCCAAGTTTCAAGAATATCTTCACGGTTGACCATGTTCAAAAGATTTTCAAGCGAAGCTTGTAACGCATCATATTCATCCTCAAGATATCCATCTGTATATTCGTGTGCAGCAGGAAGCTAAAAAAAATATATTAGTTCAATTAAGAACACTCTTGCTAATAATAAATTTATAAAGCCATACCAAAGTTAATTCAAATGAACATGCGCGATATAGGATACTTTGTGATATTTGGATACTTTGAACTGAGGCGGATTCCAAAGTTAAATATTTTTTTATTTCATTTTGAACTGGTTCAAAAAACACACTTTGAATGCTTGGAAGTCCTCGGGTTGGCAATGCATTTTTATACTCTGAAAGTCGTTGAAACGTCGAATAAAATCGTGGAACAATGAAATAAAATCGTGAAAACGGCGAAAAAA